TTTTTTTTCATACCGATAGAGATTCACTCTTGCTCATAAGTTCTACACTTCGCTCAGACATTTTCTTTCTGATCTCTGAAATAAGTCCTTTACTAAATCTCGAAGACTGCTGTGACAATCTAGACAATCTCGACATTCTCGAAACACCCGAAACCCGTTTTTGTATTAAGTGCTGAAGACACCTAACAGACTCGTCATCCACCTACAAAAATTAGTTGTTTTTTTTTTTAATTAAACTATTTTACTTGTACCAAATCACAAATTCGTTCTTCATTGACCATTATTTCATATGGGTCGACATCTTTTGCTGGTATTATCAATAATTTTGTTTCTATATCTGTTTCTATGTTGAGAACACTGCTTTTCGGCAAAATTAGTTTCTGACAAGCTCTAAAATTAAATTATAATTCTATTWAGAAACACGTGAGGTTCTACCGTTGTATGTAGCAAGGAGCGACATAAACATCYTTCGTATTGAAGTCAACAGCTACTCCTTCTATTAACAATAGATCTTCAATCATTTCATTTATCGAGAAAATTTTGTAGTTAGATAAGTTCGGCACAAACGAACGTTGTACGATATATTTAATCTTGTCTCGGGTATATGAGCGATATGTGGGGGTATTAATCAAAATAGAAATRGCGCGCCGAAAAGCAATATTTTTCCAAATTCTACACTCGATTCTGAAAATAATATTGGTTGTTATTATTAAWAAAACTTTTTGAATACAAGTCTAAAAGAGCTCAAATTAAYATTTTACTTACCCGTTGACGGGATCATCATCTAAATTCATTGCTTTTTTCAATATGCTTCGTTTTAAAACGCAGACTTGACTGTGTGTTTCGGCAATAACAACACCATCATAGGGTCGCTCTGTTATAGCTGATAATTCTCCAATAGTATTCCCCGGTACGATATATTCAGACATAGGTTCATCAAAACTCAAAACGCAAGTGAAGTCTATGACCGGAAGAGCACCGCGACATTTTAATTTTTCTGTCACGGTTTCTTTCGGCATGTAGGACACCAAAAACATTCCTTCAAAAGTGTAAATGAGAGTACTCAAAGATTTAAGAAAAATTACCTGTAATTAGGATATAGATGCCTCCAACGATTTCACCTTCAGGGAAAACGATGTCTCCAGGATCAAATTTTTTTATACAAACATTGGAATAGAGRAAGTCAGCGCTATCCTCATTCATATAAGTGATTTCTCTAAATATATGTTCTGGGGATGGTGGTGGCACATTCTGGATAGCATTTACATATCGGTATCTCTTTTCCAAAGACCTTAATAATTTCTCGTACTCGACGTCATCAACCCATCCCGAAACTTTTAGTTCTTCAATATCTTCTTTCATACTATTCAAAACTGTATTTATAGCTGCTCGGGTTTTGACAGTAGTTGCAACCCATGGTGATTTTTTTTCAACAATACCAAGATTTCTTGTAACMGCAAGTCTATCGCTTTCTATTCGTTTTCTAATAATCTCTCTTATTTTGGTGTTATCAACGATTTGATGCATRTTGTCTAAAATTTCTTCTTCGCCTTCAGTGTAATTTTTTCCGATTTCATAAGCTAACGATTTGTTTAGTTCAACTTGAGTGTCTAAACATTTAAGTAAAGCAACTGGAATCGYTTTACAACRACTGCARTATTTAAAGAGTTCTAAAAGTTCCAASACTCTTATACAAAGAAGAATATTTAAGATAACGTCCATGATATAAATATTTTTGTCATCGTGATAATGTAGAATGATAGCACTGTGAATAATTAATAACGCAGAAGAGTAACATAAAACAAAAAATTTAAGGATGTTCCAGAAAGATCTGAAATTTTACTAGGAGTATGAATCATTTACAAGTTTTGGATATTATACCTAAAGTAGTTTTTTATTCCATGTTGGCAGATATATATCCAGGAATAGGACAATACTCTAATCAAAAATTCTACAGAATATGCGAGAACGAAGAGACTCTGTCCTAAAACCAAAGAAAAGAACAAGCCAGTRGATGTGTTTATGTGATCTGACAGACATAAACTAATAAAAATTATATTAGTAACAACAATGAGGTTCATAAYCAGTGGAAAAGCAAAGTGATTGACGGCGCGATAGCACCATAACCTCCATTGTTTCCTAGGAGGRTTTAAACTTTTTGTTCCYAAAATTAACTGAAAAATGTTTTTAAGACATTTGTARAAARTATTCTAAAATAAAATTTTAAATCAARGWCATAAAAACGWTGCAACAAAATGAACCTCTTTAGYAAAAAGTCTAAAAAGKCCATCCARTTCAATCACTCCTTCTTCAGATTCCGTTGCAAGTTCTATAGCTTGGTGCAGAAGTCGGATACTTTCTTTAGATAACATTCCATTTTCRAACTGTCTRGAATAAACAGTTTTCTTAAATTTAAGCATTCGWGCTTTAGCTTCCTTGATCATTTCTTTCATTTCTTTTGAAGTTGGTTCATTAGGAATATTTTTTTCGCAATCTGGACAAAATGTATATCTATAGCCCATGAAGTTATCTTCATCTTCGTCTTCTTCGTCGTCTTTCTCWATTTSACTTGTTTTTTTGTATGGATGCYTCAAAGCGGTTAGGCCTGTAACTAATGGCCAATTAGCGTCTGAAAGAAATCTKTAGGAAAAATTAGAAAACAATGAGAAAATAAAAAATTTACCTGTCCATCTTTAGAATAGCAATAGTAGATGCTCTAGCTTCGTAAATGGATTTCATACAAGTATTCATATTAATTTGTCTAGAATTTGATATTTCAGATAAGCCCAAGGATTTTAAAAGAACTGGTAGGAGACTTCCATTAATGAGTAGCATCAAAATATAAACACCAACAGTGTGCAAAAAGAAAATTTGCCATTGGTATACGTCAATCTGAATATCATCTTTTAAATTTATTGAAAGATCTAATCCTATTGGAYTTTTCAAGCCCCCCCAAATACATATAGCTAAGTTTTGGAAAGTCATTCCGTATCCAAGTCGAYTCAAAATTGGARAWAAAAGAAAAAATGAYAAGCATCGCGTCATATTGTTCACAAGGTAGGTCACAATGACTATAACGTAGTTTTTGAAATATATGTCATTGCCGAGAAAACGAGGAGTTACGACTCCTACATTCACGAGGAYGACGGCATTGAAGGCACTTGYGATCATTACCCAAAAGTCTTTAAGATCTTCGTTTATTTCTTTTGAAAGAGACATTCGTTCTTTACTCATGAGAATTCCTACTATCGTGGTTGCGATAGTTCCACCAAAACAAATCCATCGCGT